AAACTCTCTTTTTCATTGAGGTTGCAGGTCTATTTCTTCAATGGCTCCTATAATCAAGATATTATCCAAATTAAGCAAGCATCATTTGACGCCTACAGCAGAGCTAAATTAGAAAAACCCCATCTTTAAGAAATTGCGAGTTGTCTCGCTATGTGATCCTATCAAAATTTTGACGGTTGATAGCAAAAAAGTAATTTAGTGAAATTTTCAAAGGTTAATTTGTTGGTAATTTATCCTCCAAATCTTCGGAGGTTCAACCTTTACTTTTGTGTCCTTTAGCTTCTGCTTCAGGCTGAAGCCGGCCTGTTTTAAAAGTGCGTCTGAATGGGCTCGCTTCAGCCCACACGTCACAGACAAACACAACATTACACAAACTTAAATAAAACCTAAGCCTCGCAATTTATATATCCAACTCCCTTCAAAAGTACGAGTTTGGAAAAGATTTTCCTTCGTTAATATTATCCTTGACCCTTTTGTATTTTACATTGTTATCCTAATTTAATTAGCATGTTTTGATTTTATTTTCTTAACTCACATAATAGATTAAAAAAACCCTATTTAATATCCAAAAACCTACATTTGCTATTAATCCAACTACTCTTATCTATCCAACTACTTAGAAGTTTGCATAGTATTAAATAAGTGCTAAGTTTTAAAAAAAAGTATTATTAAAAAGAGAAATTTTAAAAAGTGTTGATATTATTAAAAAAGAATTAAAATTGGATAATATCTACCGGATTTCTAAATTTAAAATAAATAACTTTGCATAATAGAAATTTGAAATAAATAAGTATTTTTAAAAAGAGAAATTTAGAGCGCATTAATATTATCAAAAATGATTAATTGGATAATATCTACCTGATTTCTAAATTTTAAATAGAATAAAGACTTTGCTTAATAAGTATTTATGTTAGTAAAAAAATCTAATTTCTTCCCAGCCACCTTCTAATTAATTAATAGAACAATTCGATGAATATATTACCTTTGCTATTATTCCAACTACTTCTATCTACCCAACTACTTTAAGTTCGCATAATATTGAAAAGGTGTTAAGTTAAAAAAGTATTATTAAAAAAAGAAATTTTAAAAAGTATTGATACTATAGAAAAGGATTAATTAGATAATATCTACCCGATTTCTAAATTTAAAATAAATATTTTTTGCATAATATTATATATATATTATAAAAGTACGAGTTTGGAAAAACTTTTTATGGTCAATATTACCCTTAACCCTTTTGGATATTACACTTTTATCTTATCATTATTAATAATATTTTCAAGGTAAAATCTTTGATCAAAATTTGATATGAAAATAGATCAAATACTAAATTAATTCTCTAACCTATTAGAAGATAACACATGTCCAATTAATTCTATCCACAAATGTAAGTACCTTCAAAGATAGTATATACTGCTTAAATAATTCTTGTTTACAAGTTAACCCATAAATTTATAAACAACCCTATAAACATAGAAAAAGTTACAAATAGCAACTTAAAAAATCTAAAGTTACAAATAATAACAAGTAAAAAATTCAAAGCTACAAAAACTCCACTTTAAATTCCTAAAAATTATACAAGACTCACTAATGAATAAGGATCATGCAAATAAACTCTTGAAATAAAAAAATATATATAGCTCCAACAAAATCTAAAATTGCAAAAAACACTTTAAAATCTAAAAATGACAAAAAATAATCTTAAAATATTAAAATTATAATTAACACACAAAAAATCATAATTTACAAAAAAAAACCTCTTAAAATATTCAAAAACTACAGACAACACTCTTTAAAATTTTAAAAATTACAAACAACCCCTTAAAATTTCAAAAAATTTAAACAAACACATGGAAATTATATAAAATTACAAAAACACCGTAAAAGGTAAAATGAAAAATATCACCCTAAAAAATTAAATATCACAGACAACACCTCAAAATCTAGAATTACAAATAGCTACCTAAAATCTAAAATTATAAATAACATGTAAAAATTTTGAAATCTAAAAACCCACAATTAAATTCCTAAAAGTTATAAAACCCACAGATAAGAATATCACAAACGAACTGATGAAAAAGTAAATAAAAAAAGAGCCCCCTTAAAATCTAAAATTGTAAAAACATTTATAAATTTAAAATTTTTGAAAAAAAAATTCTAAAATTCTAAATGACCAACAAAAAAATCATAACTCTTTAAACAAATCCAAAAAGTACAAACAATACTCTTTAAAATGAAAAATTACAAATTAAAAGTTCAAGAAAACACTAAAAAAATAAAAATTATAAAAAAGCCCCATAAAAATAAAAATGACAAATAGTACGCTGAAAATAAAAATTACAAAAATCTACCTACAAAACTTTTAAAAAAAACATAAACTAACCCTTCAAATCAGAAAATTAAAAAGAAACCCTAAAAAACACGAAGGATATAAAAAATAGAAACAACCCCCTAAATAATGAAAAAGTTAGAGATAAATCCCTTTAAAATCTAAAATTATAATCAACCTCTTAAAAAATTCTGATAATTACAAATAAACCACTGAAAAAATCTGAAAACTATAAACATTCATTATTTGGGTTTTTTGGCAAAAAGTTTTAGGGGTTATGTGAAAAAATGTAAACCTTATTGGATTATTGGGGTGTATTTTGAGCATTTGACTACACGTGAACTAATGAGGTTAAATTTGAGGGTTTTCTGATAAAAGTTAATTGGGGTTTAATGGAAATTTTAAATATATTGGGGATTTAGTTCCAAGTGATGTTAAATTTGAGAATTTTCTGCTAAAAGTTACTTGTGGTTTAATGGGAATTTTAAATATATTGGGGATTTAGTTCCAAGTACTAAACTTATTGGAGGTTTAGCCAAATTTACCCATGTATTAATTTAGAGGGCTTTCTAAATTTGGAAAAAAAAACCCTTGAAAAATCTACAAATTGAAATAAGACTCTTAACATTTTAAAATTATAAATGACCCTCAAAAATTTCATAAAATACAAACAACTTCTTAAAATCTAAAAAGTACAAACAACCTCCTCTAAATTTAAAAATTACAAGCAACCCCCTAAAAATTTATAAAAAATAAAAATTACAACAACCTCATGTGTTGATGTTAAATAATCAAACAGTCAAATATATTTGATGAGGGTGAGATTGCTTAAGGGCCGCTCACTTCTTCGAATATATGGTTTTGAGTTAAGTAGCTGAAATCTGCACAAATAACAGTTCGTGAGAGGACGTGGACTGGTTCCCCCGTGGTTCCTCCGATGATCAAGTCAGTAGATGAACTTGAGTGAGGAAATAAAGAACTGCTTGAGTTCTTAAGTGTAGTGGAATTGCTAAAGACATCATTAGATTAGATTAGATTAGATCAGAGATCACCCCTTTATGTTAGAATAGTACATCTATTTATACGGGTGGTATAAGGGGTAGAATGGTCACTTCGGCCTAGCACAGGATGGCGGCAAATAAGTATGGTTGACAGTTACATCAGCACCTACTTTACTTGTGCCACTCGGCCAGTGGAAGAGAGATCACATCGACATTAAATGCGAAGTGATCTAAGGCATGACGGTGCTGACGTGGTCTGATGAGTTATGAAGACTGTCAGTCCTAGAGGCATGATAGCGCCTTCCAATCATTAAATGTGATGTTGACGTGTTGTTAGTGGGAGAGCTTCGAGGTTGAAGTCATCTTGTGACTTGGACGAGAAGTAACGTCTTTCGAGTGGATCTCGCGAGGCGTCGAATCTGGTCGAGTGGGCTCGTAGCGAGTCATTTTCGACAAGAGGACCGACAAGTACCGCCCTTCGAGTCGATACCAGAAGATGTCGACTAAGCGAGTCGGCTAAGTCAGGATTCTTGATGGTCTTGGCCGCCAATTTAATTGGGACATTACATGTAGAAATACACATATCCGTTGCTGGCAAAGGGTTGTACTTTGGCGATTGAAAACACCATAACATCATGAAAACTAAAAATTACAAACAGCACCCTAAAAATGTAAAATTACAAATAGCCTCCTAAAATTTTGAAATATCCATAAAGAAACCCTTTAAATTAGAAAAATAGAAATAAGCCCCTAGAAAATTACAAAAATACCCAAAAATTATAAAAAGTATAAACAAACCACTGAAATTAAAAATAGAAAAAAAACCCTTTAAAATTCAAAATTTACATCTTGAAATTTTCAATAATTACAACAAAACTTTTGAAAAAAATCTAAAAACTATAAGCATCAGGTATTTGGGGTTTTTGGCCAAAACTTTTTGGGGGTTAAGTGAAAAAATTATAAAACTTATTGGGTTGTTGGGGTGTATTTTGGTCATTTGACTGTATATGAACTAATGATTGAAATATTCAATACGTATGTTAATTAAAAATAATTATGTGAGTAAAATTACTCAAATAAGGACTCTTAATGTACAATTGAATTCTAATTTAATGTATTCCACTTTAAACATTTTATCTTTCCAATATTATACTTTATAGACACACGTGAAAAGAGTTATAAATTATTTTTAGGGGCTGTTTGGTTTGCTATTATAAGGGGTGGAAAACTCAGAAAACCCATCCACGTCAGATTTTTAGCCTTTCACGTCAGCTTTTTTGTTTCCGTCTATTTCTTTGTGCCGCTTTGGTTCGCTCGAATGGAAGAGTAAAAACTCTGCTGAAATCGTCGCCAACTAAGATTTTTTCCCTCTCCGATTTCCTTCCTCAACCAAGTGAAATTGATGAAAACTCTGCCACGTCAGATTTTTTCCTTCTCTGCTTTGTTTACAAAAGTTTTCATTTTTTTTCTATGCGAACCAAACACAAGAAAAATAAATACATTGGTTTCCCACCATTTTTTATGTGCGAACCAAAGCAAAACAATCTATTTCTTGAAAAAGTTTGGAAAACTCAAAACTTGTGTTTCTTTACATGGAATTGCATTTCTCTATATCAAGGAAACGAACCAAACAGCCCCTTAGCCACACATTTAAGTTTTTTTTCATGTTTGATCATGTACCATTTATTGTAAATTATACTTAATGTAAATTGACTATGTAATTTTGACTTTTGTCATGTTATGTTTTGGATTAACTATATATGTATATAGACAATAAATTATTTTACTTTTTCACATGTAAATAAAAAAAATATTTCACAACCAAGTTAAGCAAGGAAATAGGACAAAAAGAAAAAATAATAATATTTTAACTATGTGCAATGCACATACATTTAACCTAGTTAAATCAAAAAAATAACAGGTTAATTGTCGATAGACCTGGCTATTTTGAACTATTATCTCTCTAGACCTATTTCAACAGTAAATGAAATTATTTTTGACTCTTTTGTCCCCGCGATGTATCTTCACCAAAGAACAATTTTCACTTTCCTCGACGGTAAAGAAATCATAAATTTGTCACTTTAACCAGCCATATGTTGTCTTTTAGCAATTAACCCTAAAATCATATAGCAAGAGAAGACTTAAAGACACATGGCAAGCTAGATAAAAAGAGAGATGTGTCTTCTTCAATTAGGTAGTAATTACAATTCTCTCTATTTTTACCGTCTATCTCTATTTCAATGGATGAATCACCTCGCTAAAATTTCTGTTGTTGTTTTAAAGACCACTAACAACCTTGAAAAACACTAATAAACTTGAAAACCAATACCGTCAAAAGCACTGTAAGATTTTTATTTTTATTTTGAAAGTCACTTTGATCTGGAAAACCACTAATAACTTATAATCGTCTATAGTCAAAAATACTACTTATGATAGTGAAAATCTTAGGTGACATAACCTCATCCTTTAAAATTGAGATAAAGGGTAATGATTGAGAAAATATAAATCCTCTCCAATCACCACCCAACATGAGAGGATCTAAATCTAAAAAGAGGCTATGTAGTGCTTCCACATGAAGTGAAGCTACACAAGCGTACACTCTAATCTACAGCTAATACCACAATACTACAAAAGTTATTGGTACATTGACCCAGTAACAAAATGCACCCAACTCAAAGTTTACACCATCCCTAAATACATAGTACAGGACTTCTCTCATCATAAGCTTCGGATGCGAAAACCATAGCCGAAAACGACACAGTTTCGAGCGAAGAAATCAAATCTAAGTGCAAAACCAGAAACAGTAACTCATCCAGAAAGCTGCAGGTGACGGCAAAACAAGAACTGAAATCTTCGACTTCCAGCTGATGTCAGTCTTGAACCAGGGATAAAAATGAAGGAAATTACGCTTTGATTTACACCTTCTTTACTATCTGAACCACATCTTCATCCTCAAGCTCATGTTCCTGCATCCAATTCCCAAACTTGCTCAGATCAGTTGACGAAATAATCAAACAAACGTTAAGAAAACGAGCAGAGTAGGTAAAAAAAAACACCTTGCCAACTCTCTGGGGCTTGTGCTTCGCACTAGATCCCCAGACCAACGCGCTGCACATTTCAAACAGCAGTAAGTTAGCCAAAAAAAGGCTGGAAAGAGCTACTGCTACAGAAATCAGGGATGTAGAACAGATTGGATCCCTACAACAATCGAACATTCATTCAAAAATTCAAATGGAGCAAAGAAATGAAACTTACTATTTAAATTGCTTGAGCATGTCCTTGTGAATTCTGGTGCAAAAATCTTCAACGGTCCGCTTCTTGGATGATAGAATGACTGGATCCTCATAATCAGGATTTAATCCTTTTGGTTTGGTGTATATGCGAGTTAGGTTAAGGTATTCCCATATCTTCTCCAATAGTCCATCAAGATTCCATTCCAGGTGAGCGCTGTTCGGAAATGAACATAGAGGGTAACAGAAAAGTGAGACAGCAATCAATTCATAGCAGAAAAAACAAAACAAATAACTCTGAACTAGAGAGAACTTTTTTCTGTCAGCTGCCAACTGCCAACAAGCTTGGAGCAAAAATTCGATGATAGACCAACACTCATGCCTAGATAAATTTCTAGATGGTTGCAGATCCAAGTAATCATGGAATTGTCAAATGACTTGAAGCTGGCAACTTTTACAAATGTGAGACTTGTTCCGTTAGTAATGTTGACTAATCCTGTGAAAAGCTGAGACACATAGGGGCATCGTGGGTAAGGCCCTTCTGACTAGAAATCTAGGGACATCTTTTTTTCAATATTAAATTATTGTATATATTCTCTGTACTAAACAATTTATTGTCCAGGAAAACACTCGCTTGGTAAAAATGCTAAGAGAAAACATGAATGCGTAGTACCAATCACATCAATTCATATTGGCTGGTTTCACCTTTATCAGCACAACTAATATTGTCTTCTGAAGGCCAATACTTCAACCTGTACTTAAAACTAAGCCGTTGGTTCAACTTGAATCCAACTTTTAAACAAAAGGACATTGAGGTTCTGTAGCCAAAATCATCCAAAATGCACAACACTAACCCAATAAATCAAACCCAAAAAAAATGAAAGGAAAAAAGAAAAGAAACAAATGTTAAATCATTAACTGGAGAAATACAAAATGCATATACAAAGGACTGTTTATATATGAGCAGAATGATCATTCCGTTGTTTACATATCATATATTGATTTAAGATATGAGGTTCTCCCAATCAGGATGATGTACTGGCCATTGTCCAATATGAAAAACCTTGGTTGCTATGGAACAATTATGTATGACAAGCACTGAAATAAAACTAAGAGAACGATGACAACATTAATAATAATACAGAATAATGAAGACAACTACGAATACATTTAATGATGTGTGATCATAAGAAAATAAACAACCGTTCAATATTTGCATGAACACGTTTCATGATCATCTTTCTCAAACTTCAGAATTCTCTACCATCAAAATGCCCAAAAAATAATAACCACCAAGTATGAAACTAATTAATATTACCTGATGGGGCAGTAGTGGGGAAGTTTGTCCAAGATTTCCAGCTCTTCAAGTGTTATCTGGTCAATCTTGTTCACGACATAGATGCATGGTATGTAAACTCTACTTCCTTCTATCACATCTATGAGATCATCAGCAGTCGCATCATACCGAAGAGAAATATCAGCATTATGTATCCTATATTCACCACAAATTGCCTTCACTGTCTCGAGGTCCAAGTGCGTGTTGGTAACTGTTGATGTAAAATTTATCCCACCCTTGTCTTTCCTTCTAAATGTTAGATTTGGAGGCTCTTTGTTTAACCTGCCAATTTATGATAAAACCACAGTCAAATTAATTCAGAAATTTTAGAAATCACTTTAGTGCTAAGAAAGCATATAAGACAATATTGCTATTTGGATGTCAATATCAACAAACATCACCCTACTAATAACAAACCTATCAAAACATAAAGGGCAAGATGCTACCCATATGGACTACATTCATGTACTAAGGATGATAATTATCATGAACCGCCTGCGCTACATCAAAATATGAAGACATTAAATTTAGAAGTTTAAAACCAGGGAATTCAATCATGTGGAATGCGAACTGTGGCTACAGTGTACTTTATTTATTGAGATTTTCACCCGTCAGAACTTCATAGTTCATTCCATCACAAAAGGAAAAAGAAAAAAGAAAAAAGAAAAAAGAAAAGAAAAGAACTTCATAGTTCATAGCTGGCAGAAAGATCACGAGTAAATTATTGGTGCTTGGACTCACGTTTGTACCCAGCAAGCATGGAAATTTTCATATGTAATATATCAATGCCGGATGCAACCCAACAACACTTTTTGAAATTCCTTAGTTCCTCGTCAAATATTTCTGTCCTCAGTTTAATGGGTACAATTTTTACTTGACATGCTTCTTTCATCCTCTCTGAGACAATCTGACACTACTCATGCTTCCATGATATAAATCACACTGGGCTCTGATTTTTCTTCTAAAGAAATGGAATGCAAACATAGAATGAGGAAAGTGAAGAAATTATAATAGTAGATCTTTATTTATTATTTTCCCATCCATATTTATATCTATACATAAAGAGTAGAATTAGTACCATGAATTTTGAATTAATGCCCAATTCATGATAAAACTTCTAATATTAATGAAAATATATAATCAGAATACAATATATCACCATAATAAGCCAGGAAGATAAGTCACTCTGTGAAGTTAAGATCTTATGCCTTGACAGGTCCAGCTTTAAATTCAGCCTCTACATAATAAAGTGACAAGGCAACATAAATCTAACCTTCCATGGGCGCTTAATGATGAGAGCCTGATACAGAGGGCTTCCTTTTTTAATCATATTTTAGTCATGTTCTTTTAAATCAATCTTCAATAGTAATGTTAGAGTATAAAGTTATTTTAAATCAATCTTTAATGATACAGAGGACTTAGGAATTTTGGTGTTATAGGGTCCTCCGAAATGGTATAAATTATAAAAGTAGCCCAAGTTTGAATCTTACTTGCCAGAAATTTTTAATAAAGCAGATCAAAGAAAAGGTACCACTCCGTGACTCCATGTTTCGGCCCATGAAAGGACCTTCTAACTATGGATGCATGTTAGAGTATAAAATATAAATTACAATCCCCAACCCTCACAACTTTGAATTTTCGTAACAATGAAAAATCTATGGTGACATTTCTTACTGGTCTGACATTGGCCTTTCATGTCATAGTTTTTGAGGACTTTACGATGTAGGCTTGTTCCTTTTCAAGTTTGCATAGACATGCATGTACTCACACATATACACAATTCTTTATGTGTGACCTGAAGCCTTGAATTAATGAGATGCTCTATCAACATTTCTTGTTGTGTCATAGCATGTCGCATATCTGACTGGTGCTATATAAAAAGGACATACACCCACAACTTATCTTGAAGCACAAGGGAAGTCTGAGTGGGAAAATGCAATGAGGGATGAAATTGCAGCTTCCCACAACTTATCTTGAAGCACAAGGGAAGTCTGAGTGGGAAAATGCAATGAGGGATGAAATTGCAGCTTTGATGAAGAACTCTACTTGGGATTTAGAAGTCTGAGTGGGAAAATGCAATGAGGGATGAAATTGCAGCTTTGATGAAGAACTCTACTTGGGATTTAGTTCCCAAACCAAATGATGTTGATGTCATTACATGTAAATGGGTTTACAAGTTAAAGAAGGCAACAGATGGAAGCATCACAAGACACAAAGCTCGCAATGTGTCTTTTTGTTATACCAATGATACTGTTTGATTTAAGAAAATAACATGAATTAGAAAGTTACACAAGGAAGAACATACATGACATGAGAACTAATATGTCAGTCTTTAAGCAAGGCATGGAAGAAAAATTTAATGCTAAATACTAACTATAATGGAAAATCAACTAAACCGTGTGAGGTTTACACATTAAATTTAATAAAACCAGCCTTTTCTATAATTTCCTTTTCAGGTTAGGAAGTCCTTATTATCATGCCACTTATCAATGCATTCACATGGTTACGTATGCCGAGAAAAAAAAAGGATTAGGATTTAAAATGCATAAAGGGAACAATGAAAATATTACCTTATGCCAAATCCCTCTAGTTCCTTCTCGATAAGACGCTTGTGCGTGATAGGTTTGATTGCATCAAGGACAATTAAAATACAATTGCAGGTTCTAGCAGTGCTGATCACCTAAATAACAAAATGATTATTTTCTCATACATAAATTATATCTATACATGCTAAAGTAAAGAAAGAGCACATGTAGTAAAAAAGAGGAACCGTTAGGGGGTGGTAAACAATCGAATCGAATCGAATATTAAGGTGTTCGTACTTTGTTTAAAATTATCGAATTTGAATGCTGACTCTAATATTCATATATGGAGTTTTTCGAACTCGAACTCGAATACTTGGTATTTGATAAATATTCATGAATATTCACGAATACTTATCGAATATCAAAGTATATTTATTTCGCTAAAGAATATAATTTTTAAATAGTATTTAAATTTATAAATAAAAAATATTCCTTTATGATATATGATGTATATATATTTAAATCAAAATTTTTATTAGAAAACAGATTCAAGATTATTTAAGTCTTAAAATTAGTACATAAAACTTAAGTAGAAATGGTAAGTTGGTTAAAAATATGACATCAATTGTGCAAAAATAAAAATAATAAGTGATCAAATTTTAAACGAATATTTGATAGACAAACGAATCGAATATACATCTGGCTAAATTCTATTCGTTAGTAAACTCGAATACTAATAAAATATTTGTTTAGTGGTAAATGAACTACCGAATCAAATATGGCCGAATAGTTAGTCGAACATTTATCGAACTATTTGTTAATTATTAGGTTCATTTCCACCATTAGGAACCATGACATGCTGATACATGATTCAATATCAAGCTTTTTTAACATCCAGCAGAAAGTATGAGCAGTCTTGTTCATTACTATGTTGCAGAAATCAAGTAAAACTTGTCATTTCTATACAATGGTGTTTGGCCATGTCGTGTGAAATCGGTTGAACAAATGATCCAGAG